CTGGGTGCAACAGATCTTTCCTGCTGACCTTCTGAATTGTCTTGGGCTGGAAATTTGTTTCATCCTGTCTTTTTGTGGGTTCTGCTGCTCCAGAATTCATATTGAGGCATTATTTAGAGTTGTTTAGAAGGGTATTTGGGAGAGTTCCTGTGAACTGTCTACCATTGAAGAGAAAATATTTTAAATGAATTAATTAATTAATTAATTAATTAACAATAAAGCCATCATGCCTAACCCTCTCATGACACAACTGAAGCACGTAAAGGTTAAGTGACTTGCCAGGGTCCCAGAGTTAGCAAGTGCTGAAGGCAGGATTTGAACTCAGATTTTGACTTTAAGCCTACAACCCTGTCCACTGTGCCACCTTTTTGACTTAATGCAAGCAACTGTGGCCTTCCTTTCTTCTACCTCCTTCCTTTTTCTCACAGGAAGAGTAAGGGTTAATGCTACAGAAAGCATTTTGCACTTCCCCAAAGGCCTCATTAAATTAATATTAAAATAAAACACTTCCCCAAAGGTCTAATTAAATTAATAGTAAAATAAAACACAAGTGATCAAATTCACTTGTGCTTCCATTGATTAGGAATTGACTGTACATAGAGCAAGATTTAAAAAACCTGCAACACATAATTGAATTTTCTTTCCCCAACTGGTTTTCCTCAGGACCAAAAATGTTGCTGATGAAAAATAGAGTGACTTGGAAACATTATTATCTATGATTAAAAAAAAAATTTCTTGACCTTGCAGAGTTAGGTTTAGATCCTAGGTCTGGGCCAGGTCTAGAATCTGGGTTTCTGATGTCCATTTCTCAAAATTCTAGACCCTGAGTCAGTAGAAGTTCTCAGCTCTAGATTGTGTTCAGTTCTAGAAAGGTTGTTAAAAATAACAAATGACAGTTATTAGTCACCATACATAACTGCAGTGGTTAAGATGTGGCATTGTAAGCCTAGACTACATTACCCATCCAAGTGGCTCATTAGGTTGCATCAGATTTTTACTTTATGTGGTTATATCACTTTAGGGAATATAATTTAATTAAGTCACAGTGCCATTCAATTCTCAAATAAGAGAAAAACTTCAGAAAGTTATTGGCAGACTTGAACTGATTCAGCAATCTTGGTAAGATAGCTCCTCACAAAGTTAGGCCAAGGAGAAACCAGTGGCCACCTCCACCAGACCTATGCCCTGACCTGCCTTCAGAGACCCAGTGTGGAAAGAATACCATAGCCTCACCTTCAGCTGCCACCACTACCAGTCCAGTGCTAAGGAAACTTGAGTATCAGGTCAATTTTGCTGAAATAAGATTTGTTTCTGAGGCAGGAAGGTGGTGTAGTGGGATGAATGATGGGCTTGGGTTAATAGTACAAAAAAGGTTATAAAACCTTGCTCTAGGTAGATCCAAAGGTTGGTTGGCAATACGATGTGGTCTCTCTGTTAGGAAGTTTTACTTCCCTGGCTTTTGTTGTGACGAGGGAGGGTTCTATAGGGAAGGAGGATATCATTGGAAAATATCCACAGCAAAATATACAAAAAACAAACCCTAATGGCATCAATAATTTGTTTTTAAAGAAATCTGTCTGGGATAAAGAGAAGAGAAAATAAGCAGGGAAAACTGAAGATAAGAGAAAAGTGGAGAGGAGAGATATATCACATGATACATTTTTAGGCAGGGTCTAGTATATGGGTAAGCTAAATTTGGATATGAGGATTGGTAGAAAGAACTGAGTATGTTTACCCAGCAGAAAAAAAGGTCTTAAGAGGGGTAGGATAGATACTTCAAATATTCCTTCTTCTAGAAGGAATATGTTTATCCAGCAGAACACAGGACTTAGAAAGGCTGCAATAGATAGAGTTTTGACTAGTTGCTAGAAATAGACTGAACAGAATGATAGGTGGCATTCATTAGTCAAAAATTCTTCCAATTGCCTAGGTGCAGCAGATTTCTTTTGCTATTTGTTTACTTTCCTTGTTATTTGTATTGTTTTGTGTCTTAATTAAATGCTTTTGATTCAGAATTTATTTCTTTTTTATGGCTTGCCAGTTGTATATTGGTAGGGAATTCAGGCCATGAGTTATGTAGCATAGGTGAGATTTGAACCCAGATTCTCTGACCCCAGAGCCAGAGTGCTTTCTAATTTACCCCACATTTTACTATAGGTACATAGAGTCCTTTCTTCCTTCAGAGGAGGAGTCCTACAAGGTAGCTATTTTTTTAGCATGGTAACTATGGCTAAATTCAAAGAGTAGTCATTAATAGAAGGTGGCTAAAGCAGGTGCTGTGGAATGCTTAGAGTTTGGTCAGACAACGAAGATGCCAAAGTCATCTACTGCATCCTGGTCCATTGCCAGTTGTCTTGACTTTTGTCCTGCCCCTGGACTTTGATGACTCAGGAAGAAAGTAAGGTTGAAGATTTTGTGCAATTTTGCCTTGCTTAAATCCAATTCACTCACAAGTCAAGCTATCACTGGTGATGTCATTGGTCCTCTTTGAAAAACAGCACACACAGACACAGACACACACATACAGACACACACACACACACACACACACACCAAACAGATACAATGATCATGAGAATGCTTTGGAAGTTGATTTGAGAGCTTGTCATTTGGAGGAACATTAGAAGTTACACACAATGGGTTACTCATGTCATCTATGTCTGTTACTGTCCCTCACTCTTCAATAGTTTGTGGTAAATTTCAATCTCATTCACTAGAGTTGTTCATGTTTAGCCTTCTGGCACTGGGTTTCATTTTGGATTTGTTGAACCCAGACTTCCAGATGACTAATTATCACTTTTATTTGTGAAAATTGGACACCGTAGTTACCTTCTGTCTCTGCTAAACTAGCTTCAAGCTTTTTTTTTCTGATGGAACCATGACAAAAGATTTTATATTTTAGTTGTGAGGTGGGAAAACAAAATAGAACAAATGCTAAAATACTCCCACACAGTGAAGTTAATCTTTTCAAAGGCATTTAAGGAGTGTGTATATGCAAATATAGACTTCACATATTCATTTATATGAGAGGCAGTGTGGTATAAATGCAAACAGAGCTGGCCTCACTGTTGGAAGCAATTGAGTTTAAGTGCTATCCCTGACACACACCAACTGTGTGACCCTGGGCAAGTCACAACCTCTCAGCGGCCCAAGCAATTCTCTAATATTCTAAGTTACAGACTGCAGTGTTAGAGGAAGTTTCCACGCTGGAAGTTCCTATGCCAATGAGACCACAGGTCCCATTTAAAAGTGTGTCTGTGTGTGTCTGCAGCATCCATTACTTTCCTTAAGTAGCTTATATATCTCTCTTAATAGTCTTGAACAGAGTGCATATCTTCATGCTAATACAGGCTAGTTTAAACCTGAAGATGAATTAAGAAAATTGCAACCAACCAAGTCACTTCCACATAAAGGAAGTCTTCTGGCCTCTGTCTCTCCCGCCAAAAAAACAAACAAACAAAACTGGCTTCAACCTACTTATTCAGCCTGATTTCACATTCTCTACATTTCATCCAAACTGGAGACTGATAGTTGGCTTCTGCATTTGCCATACTGGCTCCTATCTCTATGTATTCATTCAAGATAATCTCTCAAACCTGGGATGAACTCCAGCTGTCAAAATTCTGTTCTTCTTTCAAAACTTCTCTTAGGCACCATGTCCTCCAAGAAGGCCTCATTGATCCCTCCAAAAAATGTTCCTTAAATTGTCTTAGGATGCTCTGTATTTCTCCAATAGTATAATCATAAGACCCTGTGCCCCACTGTTCTGTGCATAGGTCATATCCTTCCAATAAAATATAGCTTCATTAGGGGCAGGACCTGAGAATTTTTTTATCTTTAGGTCCCTAGTGACCAGCACAATGACTTGTTTGTAGTAGATATTTAATGTGTAGCTGTTCAATTAAATTGAAAATGTTTAAAAATTATTGGATTGCAAGCTTATTTAGGACATGAGCTATGCCCTGCTTTTTCTATCTCTTCTTGCATGTAGCAGGTACTTGACTAATTACCATTCCGTGAGCGAGTGGGTGAATGAATCTGTTGTCAAATCTTGTCTTTTCTACCTTTACAACCTCAGACAGCTACCATCTCCCTGGTCCAAGCCTTCGTTACCTCTCACCTAGACTATTTTCGATAGCCTTCTAATTAGTGTCTCTGCCTTAGGTTCTTCTGTACTCCAAATCATCCTCCACTCCGCTACCAAAGTGATTTTTCCTAAAGTGTAGGTCTTACCATGTCAACTACCTACTCAATAATTGTCAATGGCTCCCAATCACCTCCAGGATCAGCTATAAAGTCCAGTATTTGGCATTCACAACCTGGCTCCCTCCTGTCTTTTCAGTCTTTTTTACACTCTATCTATACATTCTATGATTTAGCTACACTGGCCACCCACTGTTGCTGGCACTTTTTGCTTTTGCTCTAGCATCTTCTACACCTGGAATACTCTGCCCCAAACCTACACTCTTAATTCCTCAACCTTCCTTTATGACTCAGCTTGAACCCTATCTTCTACAGAAGGTTTATCTGAGGCTCCTGAGCTTCCTCCTTCCCTCTGAGATTTGTTGTTGTTGTTCAGTCATGTCCAACACCTCATGACCCATTTAGGGTTTTCTTGACAAAGTTACTGGGAATGGTTTGCCATTTTATAGATCAGGAAACTGAGGCAAACAGCATTAAATGACTTATTTGCTCTGGGTCACACAGCTAGTCTGAGGCCAATTTGAATTTAGGGAGATGAGCCTTCCTGACTCCAAGCCCAGTACTCTATCCACTGCACCACCTAGCTGCCCATCCTTCTGAGATGACCTCCCATTTATTCTGTATATACCATGTGTGTACATACATTGTCTCCCCCATTAGAATGGGAGCTCTTTGGGGGCAGGGACTATTTTTTTTTACCTTTCTTTCTCTCCCCATTGCTTATCACTGTGCATGGAACATATTAAGTGCCAGTAAATGTTTATTGACTGAATATACAGCAGCTTTCCTCCCAGAGACTATTGGGACTGAAGCTCAAATTCCAAGATCTGAAGAGTACGACTCAGTTCAGCAGTCTTGCTCTTGTTAATGTCTGGTGGGTATCTGCCCATTCAGCTCTTTGCTCTGACATAACAAAATGAAATAAAGGGATGGATAAGATGAATATTTCCAGTTTCACGGGTTCTCCTAAACTCAGGTGATTTTTTTTGGGGGGGAAGGGGTGTAATCTTTCATCTTTTTATTAAAATAGGTTTCAGTATCCTTGTGATTCTGTTCAGTGAGGGCCTCATAAATTTTTCTCATCTCAGTCAACAAAGTAGGCAGGTCAATTCCAGGAGGGACACTGAACTTTACATTCACTTCTCCCTGAGTCACCTTATCACTTTTTAACTTCCTGATTCAGAGAACAAGGCAATTTAAAAAATTATAACATTCCAGAGAGAAGCTCTCATATGCCTGTTAATAAACTTTGCTTGAAATACAGGTTAAAATGTATTTCACAAAAAGGACAAACATTTTAAAAAATGACAATGTAAAGAAATACTCTAATCAGATGTGTTATAATAATAACATATATTACAATAATATATATGTTATAATATATAATATATGCATAATACTATATATGATACATATGTCATAGTAATATATAATAGATATATTGTGATAAAAGTAATGATAACATTAATAGCAATAATGCACTTTAATGTGTTCAAAGCACTTCCCTCACAACAATCTTGGGGGGAATTTTGGAGACGACCTGTGATTTGATAGGGAACTCCCAGAGAGGAAATTCCCTTCATCAATGCAGATTGGCACCTGTTTTGCAACTTATAATATTAGAGATATTACTCAGGGCACTGAAAAGTTAAGTTACTTGTTCAAGGTCACACAACCAGAATGTGCCAAAGGTGAGACTACCTGTATCATCTCCATATCACAAAGGAGGAAACTGAGGATCAAAGAGATGTCATGACACAGAGGAAACAACATTGACTCCGGAGTTTGAGGGACTAAGTTCAAATCCCACTTCTGAATCTTATTATCTGGATGATATTGGTCAGGTCAATGAATTTCCCTGGGCCTCAGTTTCCTCCTCTGTAAGACAAGGGAATTGGATTAAGTGGTCTCTGAGAGCCTTTCCAGCTCTAATGCCTATGATTTCCCCTTAGCTTCAAAGGATTCTTGTTCTCATCCACCCATTTTGCCTGGGGAAGTCTTCACATGCTTGGGGTGTGTGTGTGTGTGTGTGTGTGTGTGTGTGTGTGTGTATGTATTAATATATACACACACATATGTGTACATATATATACATATACGTAGACATACATATATCTCTCAATATATCTATATCTATATATGTGTTATACATATATATGTGTATATATAAATATACATATACATACATATATACATATATCTATACCTCCCCCTTCTCAGCAGTCTACTTAAGAGCACAGTCTTCTGCTCAAAACAACAGAAGAGCTTAGCTTGTTATTTTGGATGCTGCAAGTGAACCTTGGTGTTCAGTGTTACATATCTTTTTTCTACCGCTTGACTTAAGGGCAGACACCATGTCTTATATTTTAAGTGCCTAGCACAAGCCCTTGTTAATAAGGAGTGTTTAAGAACCATTGGCTCACTGATATTCCCTTGCATTTGATACTATTCTTTTGTCTCACATTTTTCCTTGAAATCTTCAGTGTGCTCCACTTTGATGAACTTTGCTTGCTCTGGATAGGGTCCAATGAGCTTCTTTTACTCAAAGTTATGCAGTCACTTCAGTGAGATTTTCATTCTCATTTACCTGTTAGAAGAAAAAGAAAGTCAAATGCAAATATTTAATGCCTCGCTACTATGGGTAAAGTCTACTGTTAGATGCTATGGGTCAGTCAGTCAACAAACATTTACTAAGGACCCACTATATGCCAGGTACTGTGCTAAGCATTGGGGATTTAGTGAAAGGCAAAAGTTAGCCCCTGACCTCACGGAGCTCTCAGTCTAATGGAGGAGACAACATGCAAACTACTATGTACATCCAAATTATAGGCAGGCGTGCTGAAATTGTATCTTGTTATAGTCCCCATAACCACTCCACCAGTTAATATAGTAAGTAAGTATGTAAGTAGCCAATGTAAGGTAACAATATTTAGGGAATAGGAATGAAGAAAGTAAGGTAGACCATAGAAGTCACTGACCAAAATTGCCTCCTAAATTAATTAAAGCTACAGCCAGAGATTCTGTGCTCAATTAAGAAAAGCCAGCTAGGTCCCAATAAATGGCCCTCTTTCTGCAGGCTCCAGATAAGTTCCAGTAAAAAACAGAAAAACATTATGTTGGTGAGGCAACCCTAAAGTGGTCTTGATAACTTTTATATGACATTGATGTGCTAATGAGTCAACCCGAAGGTGGTCTAGATAATGCTTAAGCCATAACTCCTCCCCTCTAGAACCCTGTAAGAATGAGATCCCCAAACCCTGACCCTTGAGCATTCCTCCAACTGCTATGGACCCATGCTGCCTGCCTGCTCCCAATTCTGATCTGCAATTACATAAGTGACTCTATGTGCCTCTTTCCCTCCCCCTTCATCTGCCTTTCTTCTCACCCCATTCCCCATGCCATTCCTGTGTTGTCTGACTCTATCCTCTCTATACCTTATTAAAGTGTAATTGATCAATTATTCCCCGCTTGCTGCTAGGCTGATCTTTTCTGCTGAGTATCCAAACAGTTAAGTTTATTTGCCTTCACCCAACTGGGAATCCCTTTTAGTCTTTTCCCTTAAGGCTAAGTCAGATACCTGAGCTAGGACTGAATTTATCATCAGCCACACCTACCGTGGGTGAGAATGGTATCATGAACCCACTGGTAGAAAACAAGGGCTGGCAAAGGAAATCCATACTCTTCTGGATAGAGACTTTTCCTCGTGTTTGGGCTTAATAGAACAGGATAAATAGGAAATAATGAACAGAGATAAGGCAATAGAATTAAAGGGGATCAGATGAAACTCTGAAGATATTTTTTGGACTCTGTCTTTGTCCCCCCCCCAAAAAAAGACATTTCACAGAACCACAGAATTGAAAAGCCAGAAAGGATGTCAGAGCCCACCAAGACCTACCAGACCTAACCAAGAATCCCCTCTCCAATGTTGACCAACAAGTGGCCATTTGACTTTTCAAGACCTCCAGTAATGGAGAACTCATTCTCTGCTGAGCCAGCCCCTTCCACTTTTGGATAGCTCTAATTGTTGGGAAGGTTTTCCTTACATTAGGGTTACCTTGTGGAGAATTAAAATATCATTTCGGTTTCACATCGATGAACCAATTGCTTGGGCTAATTATTGGGAAACAGGCAAGTTGAGAAATAAGGAATTTAAGGAGTGATTTAGATCAGAGTTGTCAAACAAGCTGCCAGCTTGACTCATATAGCCAGTGACACTCCTGAGTGCAGCATGAACCAGATTCAAATATAATTGCAAAATATTTAACAAAATAAATAAAATACAATTAAACAAAGATGATGTTAATATGTCATTTTCTAAGCCAATATGCACCTGCAAGTATCCTTATGTATATAGTGGCCCCCATTTTTATTTGAGTTTTACACCACTGATTTAGAAGATTAGAATAGATAGTAAGTCAGTGATCCAATAAGCATTTATTAAACACTGTGTGTCAGCCACCGTGCTAAGATCCGAAGTTGCAAAGAAAAGCAAAAACCAGGTCCCTGCCTTCAAGGAGCTTAAAAAAAGAGTTGTGGCTGTGGTGTCATGGAAAGAACACTAGGCTTAGGGTCAGAGCTCCCAGGTTAAAGTTAGTTCTGCCTCTCACTAATGATGTGACATTTGTTAGCTCACTTTATTTCTCTGAGTCAGTTTCTTCACTTGCAAAATGAGATTAGTCATAATTACTCTGTCTACATTACAGAGTTATTATGAGGGTCAAATGAGATAGCATGTGAAAAAGACTTTCTGTGCCTTAAAATACCATATAAATATTAACTCTTGTAGGGATAGGGACTGGACTTGTGGTTTCATTGTTAAAGGGAGCTCCCAGGTGAGGAAAGACCCTCTACTAATGTTGGTTAGCCTCCTGCCTTCCCTTGCCTCTTTCAATTCCTAGCTAAAATTCCACCTTCTGCAAGAAGCCATTCTCAATTCAACTTAATCCTAGGGCCTCCATTTTGTTGATTATTGCCAATAGTCGTGTCTGAAGCTTGTTCAAACATAGCTGTTTGCAAGTGTCTCCTTCATTAGACTGTGAGCTTCTCAAGAGTTAAGGACTGACTGCCTTTTGTCTTTCTTTGTATTCTCAGGCTTAGTTTAGTGCCTGGCACATAGCAGGTGCTTAATATATATTTATTGACTTATTGACTACCTAACACCTTTGCTGCAATTTACATTCTTGGAGAGTTACCCAGTCTCACACAGCTAATGTGTCTGAGAGAACCCAGGTCCTCCTGGCTACAAGGATAGTTCTGTACCCACTAGGCCAGGCTGCCCATTATAGTGCCTATAGTGATAATAATTTCAATAAGATGATAATAATAATAATAATGATAGTAATAAATATATTATAGTAGCATAGCTGGGTAGGTTGGTAACTAGCAAAGCCATTCAGAGGAAAGATGTAAGAAAAAGACGAAGATGGAGTTCTATTTTGGCAGATATCATTTTGGTTTTATACAATGAAGTTATTTCTAGACAAATTGCACTAATAATAAATTTAATTTTCAGGAGAAAATCTATCAATAGGTGCTTGCATACATTCCTGCCTTTTGGGCAAATAATCTATTTAATGAAATTGTCCAGAGCTGAGATATAAGGAAGAATCCTTAAAACTGCAAAGTTTTTAAGCTCCATAGTTCACAGACTCACAGAATTGAACTGGAAGGGATCTTAGAGGCTGGCCAGTCCAATCCATGCCTGAATAAGAATCCCCTCTGTAAAATCTCTGACAAGTTGTCATCTCATTGAACTTCCTCTTGATGGCTACCAGTGATGAGAAGCTCACTGCCTACATAGCCACTTCTCACTTCCCACTTATCGATAAGATAAAGAGTTTTTCCATAGACTGAGCCAAAATCTGTCTCTTTGCCACTTCTGTCTGTCACTCCTGTGAGAGTCAAGTAGAACAAGAGTAATCCCTTTTCCATAGGACAGTCCTTAAAATACTTGAAGACAACCATCAATTTGTTTTTTCTAATTCGTTTCTTTTCTAGACTTTTTTGTTGTTCAGTCATGTCTGACCCTTTGTGATCCCATTTGGGGTATTCTTGGCAAAGATACTATAGTGTTTTGCCATTTTCTACTCTAGCTCACTTTACAGGTGAGGAAACTGAGGCAAACAGGGTTAAGTGACTTGTCCAGGGTCATATGGCTAGTAAGTGTCTGAGGACAGATTTGAGCTCAGGAAGATGAGTCTTCCTGACTCCAGGCCTGGTGCTCTATCCATTGCACCATGTAGTTGCCCCTGGAATTTTTTAGGCTTTTTGTAATTTTTATCTGTATAGATTTTTTTTAAATAGAATGTTCCTTAGTCCTTGGCCTTAAGGTTGGTAGAGATGTGATCAAAAGAAATGTGATCCTGTTCAACTCAGAATATAGATTGTCCACTGCTGCTTAATGACAACTATTTCTCTGGAGAATAATGTGGAAAGCAGCAGCATGTCATGACCCTAGACCATGCCTCCTTGCCAGCTTCAGAACTCTCTTTGATCCTGGTACTTACTGACTTTTGTTTCTGTTCTGTTCACTAGCATCACCTTCTCAGGAAATCTTCTCAGTTCCTATTATTCAGGTCACTGACTCTGACTCTGGATGTTCACTTTCATAGCTGTCCATTTGGGCATGCGGCTTTTCTTGCTTCCCAGCTTTGTTTCAGGCTTTGTTATCACTTGCCAGAGTCCTCAGACTACAACTTGGAAAGTCCTCAGTCTCAGCCCATGGTGTGTCCCACCCCAGGCCCTGCCCAAGGGCGAGGTTGGGAGGATCAGTACATCAATTATTAAGAGCCTGTCATGGCTTTGTGAATTACCATATCATTTTCTTAACTGAAATATGATCATTCACCAAGATTTACTCCTCTTTGGGCATTTTGCCATTTTGCATGATTGAGATCTTCACTGTTGGCTACATGTTATCTGATAGCATCAACCCATCAGTCTAAGCACTAATAAGGAAGAAATATTCTGTAGTTTAAAAAAATGCTCTCACACACATATCCTCGTATATATGCTAAGGCTATTTACTAGTCTCAAAGAACCTGTAAAATGCTACCAAGCATCTTTCAGTCTGTCTCTTTTGCTGACTCCTTACCTTCAACCCATCATCTAACCACAAATGTCCTTCAAGTATTGGTCTTTGGTTCCCTTCTATCTATATACTTTCTTTCTTGATCTCTTTCAGTCCCACGGCCTTAATTATCACCTCTATGTTGATGACCTCCAAATCTATATCTCCACTCTCAGCTTTACCCAATCACTCCCCTAAAACTTGTCTCATATTTCTAGCTATTTGCTAGAAACCTCCATCTTAATGTCCTGTTACCACATCAAACATGTCCAAAACTGAACTCACCTTCTCCTCAAACCTTCTCCCCTCCTTCCACACTACTTGTAGCTTTCTGTTGATGGTACCACCATTTTCTCAAGTACCCAGAATTGCAATCTTGTAGTCATCTTTCCTTCTCCCTTCTCCCTCCCACCTGTCCTACTCCCTCCAGCCAATTAGTTGCCAAGTCTTACCAATTCTACTTCAATATAGATATGTATATATGTATGCATATGCATGTACATACATATAGCCATGGGAACAGAAAAAAACAAACAAACCTTAGAAATCATCTAGGACAATCTTCTCACTTTACAGAGCAATCAAAAATAAAACATTTATTAAGCCTAGTATGTGTCCAATGAGAAGACTGAGTGAGTCCCAGAGGAATGATCTAAGTTGCCTGGCTAATAAGTTACCCTGGCTTTGTACCTGGCTGGTTTGACTCCAGACTCATTTTCCTTCCACTGTGCCACAGTCAGTTAGTTGTGTAGCTGCTGCCTTCCTTCCACTCTCTTTTTAACCTCATCTTTTCTTGTTCATCTTAGAATCTCATTTCCCATCCTGACTATTATAACAGACTTCTAAATGGCTTTCCAGTCTCCAGTCTTCTCTAATTCATCCTTCACACAACTGGTTAAGTAGTCTTCCTAATGTAGGAGAGAAAGAAGGAAGGAAGGACTAAGCATTTATTAAATGCCTACTGTGTACAAGTCACTGCGTTAAATGCTTTACACATATTTTATCATTTGATCCTCATGACAACCCTGGGTCTGTGTATGTGTTTAATCATGTCTGACTCTTTGTGACCTCATTTGGGGTTTTCTTGGCAGAGATACTAGAGTAGTTTGCCATTTTCTTCTTCAGCTCATTTTACAGATGAGGAAACTGAGGCAAACAGAGTTAAGTGATTTGTGCCCAGGGTTAAACAGCTAATAATAGTCCGAGGCCAGATTTGAACTCAGGAAGATGAGTCTCGTAGACTCCAGGCCCAGTGCTCTATCCATTCCACCACCTAGCTACCCCTACAACTCTGGGAAGTAAGTCCTATTATCATCCCCATTTTGCAGTTGAGCAAAGTGAGGTAAAAGAAATTAAATGACTTGTTCAGGGTCACATAGCTAGTAGGTCTGAGGCCGGATTTGAATTCAGTTCTTCCTAACTTCAGGGCAGTTA